ATAGCGATCGAAAGCTATACACGCGAATGTGGTCGCGAGAGTCGATCGGACGGCGCCGATAAAATCTCGTCTGCGAACGCAGACGGCACACGGCCATATGTGGTTCAAGAGAGCATGGGGGAATAGGATGGTAAGTGTGGCCTAGTCACGCAGACTGGTATCGATCGGCACTGGTTGTCTGCGGTTGTGTTCGCGTCTGTAGCTCTTGGAGCACTGTTGCAATTGTAGCGCGTCGACGCGCGTCGTCGCGAAGCCTCAAAGCTTCCCCTAGCCACGGCTCTGGCTTAGCAGAGCATTGTCGGCTAGAACTGGCAACACCTAGCTATGTAGAGTGGAAATAGACGCTCTGCGGTTTGGCTCCTTCAACAACGTTTGCACCTGGAATGCTAGCAATAAGCAGCAGAACTACAGTCATTCTTGCTAATTCATTACAGTTATAATTATTAATTAATTACTGTTACTATAACTTTCTGATCCTCTCCTAATCTAGGCTGGACTCGAGTATTCAAACCTGATATTTGGTATCGACTACACCAAATCGAATTGCTACCAAGGTGAACGAACTTTCGACGGTCGAACGCTTCACGACTTGAATCCTCATGAGATGAACCCTTACCAACAGGTATAAAATCATCTTGAAGCATCATTTCTAAGAACAGAGTCATGCGTATCTGAATCTCGAATACTGCAGCACCCATGAGCGGTTTACAGCTACAGAGCTCACTTTTCAGCTCGTACTGTAATGCTAGAGTGGTTTCAGGTAATAGAAATCGTCGGCAAAACGTTATCGTCATTCGATGCGGACGGCATGATCCCTGCTTACGGGTTTGGTGACGAGGAATTCACCGACAAGGGAATTTTCAACATTGCCGACCGGTACAACCTCGACAAGGACTGCAATGGCTTTGAAGGTGAAAAGAGAATGTGTGCCGGCTTGTGGTTCTCAAGGAGCTTACCCTATGGGTGAACCAATCTAGTACCGTCGTTTAATTTGGTGTTGAATGAGGGCCAATCATGCTGAATCCTGCAACGTTACTTTTATTAGTCATGAAGTTACTTTGAAACGTTTATTTCAGAGGTGCTACGGATCTACAATGAAGTCACACCTAAAGTTGCCATGAGTGGACCAACGAACTTTGTCCCCTTGATCGGTAAGTCCGGATTCATATCAACTAGATCGTTCAAGATTACGATTCCACCTCACTCACCGACTATAACATTGAGACGGGTTACCGGAAGCACTTCTCG